TAAAGATTTGATACTAAATAAAAACCACTTGATCACTAAATCGAAGATCACAAGATCTCAAGTAGACAAAAGAGAAAAGTGTTTTATTCCCATAGTAGGATCATAATGTTAATGTATGTAATATGGAACATAATCATACTATAAGACAGTTATTCCTGAATCAAACACTTTGTATCAGAAGACACCAAAATTAAGGAGTTTGTTCTTCCTGTTATTCTAGGATTCTGTGTGCCACCTGCAGTCCAGAACAGATCTGACACCATCATCCGTACCAGCAGTTACCAACGATGACCCCAAATGTCTGATGAGTTACTCTTAAGAGCCTGGCTGGCTTTCAAATTCTGTCCTCCATCCTCCTCGATGAGAGGGATGGAATTCCAATCCAAATCTAACGTTTCTGTGCAAAATTTAAAAAGCTTAGCTTTGACATGAAATTAACTGTATATTAAAAGAATAATTGTATATTAAAAACGCACAGTAACATGCATCAGGGTAAAAAGGTGAGTCAGTCTTTCACTAATAATCTTCCACTGAAATTAAGGCTTGATAAGGAAATGTTATAGTAACTAACTGGAAGTAAAACTTCAAAACAATTACTTAGTAAGAAGGTTTCTAATTAAATCCTCAGGAATTATCACTTGCAAAGAACTCTTTTTGATGACATGTAGTGTTCCATCAACAGTGCTTATTTTTCAAGGGTGGGAAGAAAATAAATGGGTATTCTCACCTTTTGAAAACAGCTGTTTCAGTTTTAGCATCTACAGTAAGGCTCAGTGTCTCCTTCATGCTGCCATTCATTACTGTTTCAGTTACCTTGTCTGCATTTTCTACATCATCCTCTCCATCTGAGCTGGCTTCCATAGCAACACTTCCTGGGGCTAGATATATAGAAGTCATTTAGTACATTGCTGGTTATGTTTTTATTTCATGTGCAAGCATACAAGCCAATATAACCAGAATGATATTTTTACAGTTTTGTACACTTGAATTCTTTCTTCCAGAGAAAGTCACCTTTCTGCAACCCCCCATTATACACATATATAGAACATAAGGACTTCTTACAGATGGCTTAAGGAAAAGTCAACATTCCATAACTATTTTTTTTTCATTCTGCAAGCCACTTAATTTAGATTGACAATGGTTACTGCACCAGGCTTGCCTGCACAAGACTTTACTAGGATTACAGTGGTGTATTATTTCTCTGTACAGTGAAATTCATTACACAAACCCACACAATACAAATTTGACAGTAAGTTTGTGAGTACAGACAAGCCTTTGGGAAGTCCAGTCTCCCAGGACTTCTCAACTGCGCTTCTTATTCTGTCTGTTAATAATATATACAAAAAGCTAATTGGCACATGTTAGGCCTTTAACCAGTTCATACATGTAGAAGAAAGAATTAGTGCATGCATAGTGAAGGTAACTCAGAAAGGACTGAGCAGGAAGGGGGGAAATTTGAACACGTTGAGGCTACTGGCCTACTACAAAATAGGAAGAGACTAGAGGCTCTTCTGGGCTAGCTAAGTGCTGACACACTTAGCTTCTCTGTAACACTTTCCTGTTCATGATGTGCAGGCTTTCCAGAGGTAACAGTAACACCGGCTCCTGTTTTACGTAGGAAACTATTTTAAATAGTTCAGAAATTCTTTGGCAAGTCATTTTCATTACCTGGCAGGACAGCAGCAGAGCCAGATGAGAGGTCTCTTGAAACCTCAATTTTAAAGTTCAGGGGGATCTTTCTCAGGCACAACTCAAAATCAATCTGTATTTCTGAATGCAGTATACTTACTCTCTAGCTGTGTTGCAAGAGCAGTTACATTTGCACTTAAGGGATCAATTGGGTCTGTGTTTGTTTCCATTTCCACCGGAGAATTACTTCTTAAGGAATCTTTTGAGCTTCAAATACAAAGTAAAAGAGCTTTAGAAACACTTCTGAATAGCAAAATGGGATGTTCTTAAAACAGTATTTTTAGATCTGTATCGAAGCTATGAGGCCTAGAACTCTACTGAAACTGAATGACAGCAAATTTTTTTTGTAGGAGTCTCGGGAAGACATGCTAAACAGAATTTTAGTAATGCAAAATCCGCCAGAACTGAGCTGACTTAGTACATGTTTGGTGGTGGTTTTATTTTTACTGGTTTTATTTCATTTGATTACAAGTAGTAGCAGACATGTCCCTGGTAAATAAAGCATGCAAGTATCCCTGGCTCACTGTAGTGTTTCCAACATTTTCAACTGACTTTCTAAATGCACTCTTTACAACTTGAAAAATAGTTCTCTGCTGACACTGCATGAAGTGATTTGACTACTCAATCGTATATACCACATAGCTACAAGTTTTCCTTCTGAAGGAATGTAAGAGAGAAGATTTGGCCACCTGAAACACTTCTCACCATTTATAGAATAATGTCTTTTCTATTCACTGATGTGGGAACTCAAAGTCTTCATTTTCTAAACCCATAATTATGTTATCAACTTACCTGCCCCAAGCATGAAACAATACACTGTTTTATGTTGGAAAAATTGTACTTCTATATCCGAGCTGTTTAATGCCCAGACAGACAATCGAGAGCCAGATGTACATAAGGAAGAGTGTTCTGATTGGAGAAGGAATCTGCTCTTGACTGCTAGTATTTGGCAACTCAAAACTTGCATCTGTGTGATTAGGTAGTTACATTAAAAAAAAATAACTGAAGTCACCTGTGTAAGTTTAATCCAAGAAAGTAAAGTGTATCTCAGGCATTCTCAAAATAGTGCAGAACTGCCTAACCTAGATACCACAGCTGCGTAACCATGCGAGTTTAAAAAAAAAAAAACCACAAAAAAAACCAAACCAAAAAAAACCAATCAACAAAAAACACACACAAAGAAATGCACCCCTGCTGCGAGATGTTTTATAACATCCATAAAACAGAATCATGATAGACATTTTATGACCTTTACATTCCACTAAATACCCCAGGTGCGTAACCATGCGAGTTTAAAAAAAAAAAAACCACACAAAAAAAACCAAACCAAAAAAAACCAATCAACAAAAAACACACACAAAGAAACCCCAACCCCACCCTATTTGTTTTATAACATCCATAAAACAGAATCATGATAGACATTTTATGACCTTTACATTCCACAGTTCATGTTCGGCTCTTTACTGGGTTCAGTCTACACTAAAAAATAAAAATAAAAAAACCACAGCCCAAATTCTGGTCAGAAACCAATACTGAAGGACCCAAATATTCTTTAAAAACCATCTAAAACAGTGACACCCACCCTACAAAAGCCTGCTATGAGGCAGATCACACAAAGCATACTGCTGACAAGTGGTGTCCCTCAGGGGTCCGTACTGGGACCGGTGCTGGTTAATGTGTTCACCAATGACTTAGACAGAGAGATCGAGTGCACCCTCAGCAAGTTTGCGGATGACACCAAGCTGAGTGGTGCGGTTGACACACCAGAAGGACGGGATGGCATCCAGAGAGACCTGGACAGGCTGCAGAGGTCGGCCTGTGTGAACCTCATGAGGTTCAACAAGGCCACGTGCAAGGTCCTGCCCCTGGGTCGGGGTAACCCCCAGTATCAGTACAGGCTGGGGGAAGAAAGGATCGAGAGCAGCCCTGCCCAGAGGGACTTGGGGGTGCTGGTGGATGAAAAGCTGGACATGAGCCGGCCATGG